TGTGTGAGTGTGCCCTTATATGTGTGTCTGTATCTCTGTGTATGTCTATGTGTGCTTATATGAATGTGCATTTGTCTGTATGTGTCTGTGTGACTGTGTGTGTGTGTCTGTGTGACTAAGTGTGTGTGTTACTGGGGATCCAAACCAGTGCTCTGTGCAGGGTAGGTGAGTGCTCTGCCACTGAGCTACATAATCCATCCTGGTTTTTACTTGTTTGTTGATTTCGATACTGTTTGTTCTAAGATGGGGTATGTGTAGACCAGGCTGTCCCAGAACTCACTCTGTAGACCAGGTTGGCCTCTAACTCAGAGAGGCCTGCCTCTGCCTCTCAAGTGTTGAGATATGGTTTGGGAAGTTCTTCTGTATATGTGTTGCCTTTATTGGTTAATAAAGAAGTTGCTTTTGGTCAATGGCTTAAAAGAATATAGCCAGGCTGGTAGAGACATATATATATATATATATATGTATGTATATATATATATATATATATAGAGAGAGAGAGAGAGAGAGAGAGAGAGAGAGAGAGTAGGCAGAGTCAGGAGGTGCTATGTAGCCCCATGGGGGAGAGACACTGGGGATGAAACTTTACCATAGACACGTGATGATACACAGATTAATAGAAATGGGTTAGTTTAGGATACAAGAGTTAGCAAGCAATATGCTAAGCTATTGGCCAAATAGTATTGCAAATACTGTTTGTATTTTTTCTATAGTTTCTGTGTGATTATTTTTGAACTGAGCAGACCGGAATGAACAAGCAGTCTCCCCCAGTAGGAATAAAAGTTGTATGCCACTGTGCCTGGTCTACTGTGCTTTGATGATGATGATGGTGATGGTGATGGTGATGATGATGATGTGATGATGATGATGATGGTGATGGTGATGATGATGATGTGATGTGAGTTCTTGGTGTGGAATCTGCAGAATTTACTGGCTGGAGTCCCAGCCAGTAAAAGAGAATCTTTGGATAGAGAGAAAACCCCTCTTTAAATGCATGACTGTTAGACAGGCTTCCTGAAATAAAGGGTACCCTTGGAAGAATGGGGCAGAGTCTTCGAAGGGCAGGTACTCCTCTCTTTGGGATGGGGTTACAGAGGATAAACTCAGTCACAGTTGAAATACGGTAAAAGTTAAAAACTGTGTGGCCGGCACCTAATCGATGAGCATCCAGCTGATGACAGAGTATGCCAGAGAGCCAGAGGGTCCCTCGGGATTGAGTGGCCAGGGGAGTTGTAGCTACTGCCCCACCCTGCAGGGGGAAATCATACTGCATACGCTAGTGCAGGGAAAGATCTGAATGCCAACTTAAAGTCTGCTTCCGACAGAATACAAAGTTGAAAACCATGAACTGAACCATCACACACCAGGGACCATCTGTTGCTGTGGGACAATGCTCTTGTACACTGTAAAGATCTGTCATTCGTATTGGTTTAATGAAATGTTGACTGGCCAGTAGTCAGGCAGGAAGTATCAGTGGAGCAACCAGACCAGGAGAATTCTGGGAAAAGGGAAGGCAGAGATGCAGTTGCCAGTCAGACACAGAGGATGTAAGATGAGAATGCCTCATTGAGAAAAGGTACCAAGCTATGTGGCTAAATACAGATAAGAATTATGGGTTAAGTTGTAAGAGCTAGTTAGTAATAAGCCCGAGCTAATAGGACAAACAGCTTATAATTAATATAAGCCTCTTTGTGTTTCTTTGGGACTGAACGGCTACAGGACCAGGTGGGACAGGACCTTCTGTCTACTAATGGTACCCATAAGTTTGGCAAGAATTTTCACATAAAACCTGAGAAAGCTTTAAAAAAAGCAGGGGGGGGCGGATTCTAGATAGATAGACAAGAACAGAGTTAAGTGTAGTTTCTAGGTAGCCATCTTCTCTCCAATAGGCTCTGTTTGCTGGTGGCAAGCAGAGGTGCAGCTCCTTTAGGAGATGCTTCCTGACTCAGCTTTAGCAGCAAAAACCTCACAGCTCTTTCAAGAGGCTCTGCCATCAAACATTTAAATGGTGTTTATGAGCAGTCGGCATCAGGCTTCTTGGTGATGGACCTAGAAACTCCACAGAGTTGTGGCAATAAACCTGGCCTCCGCCAGTACCTGTGCCATGAAACTAGACTCTCAAAAAGCTAAAGAATGGGATGGAACCAGTCACCAAAGCCACAGATTTAATCCTATCCATATTACTTAGCAGAGTAAAGACTTATGTAGTCAGAAAAAGAGAGAGAGATACAGTAAAGACAGATTCAGACAAAATAAAGCTCTCTAAATGGGTTTATAGTGTTTTAAAAATTATATGTAGATTTGGGAGAGAAAAGAAAAAGGACAGAGAAAGTCCTTTAAAAAAAAAAAGTAATAGAGTAGTCAGATGTGGTGGACCATGACTTTAATCCCAGCACTTGGCAGACAGAGGCAGGTGAATCTCTGTGAGTTTGAGGCCAGCCTGGACTACAGAGTGAGCTCCAAGACAGTCAAAGATACATATAAAAACCTTATCTGAAAAAAAATCAAAAATTTAAAAATAAAAATAAAAGATATAGAGTAAAGAAAAGTCACATAATGATGAAAAATACACAGAGAATCTAGATACTGCATGTTATTGTGTTATCTTTGAATTGTTTGACTGCTGAGGAAGGAGCAACAGCTGCTAAAAGACATTTGATTATTAATGCTGCTGAATTAATCCAACCTATATATTTTAAAAATACCTTGACTTCAAAATTTAAGTCAAAAGATATGTTACTTTGAAGAAGAGGTTCTGCTTGTATTTTCACAGGAAATGAGAGGCTGTGGATTCACTTTGGGTTAAGAAAAATCAGGTTTGATCAGGGAATACCCCCTGAGAAATCTCCAATGGGAACAGATGATCCAGATGACCCAACATTTCAAGCACCTCTGTTGCAGCTTCCTCTGAGTTCTACATTAAGAACAGCCTCGAGACTGCTGGCTGAGATGACCCAGCCTCACAGGATACTCTAGTCAGGTCTTAATCATAACCCTAATTTTTCTTTGGGTTCCATGAGATTGTCAGTGTCCCCCATTAGTAGGAAGTACCCTAGAACACTACACCCACATTCCCCCAAATAGATTATGAATGTTTATCTTTGTTTAATGTGTTAGTTACAAGTTGTTATGGACAATGGTCAGGAAAAATGCTAAACAAAGGTGATTAGATTTGGGGTCTTGTTTTGAAAAGAAAAAAAGAGGAACTGCTGTGGGATAATGCTCTTGTACCCTGTAAAGATTCATCAATCACATTGGTTTTATAAAATGCTGATTGGCCAGTAGTCAGGCAGGAAGTATAGGTGGAGTAACCAGACTAGGAGAATTCTGGGAAGGGGAAAGACAGAGATGCAGTCACCCGTCAGATGCAGAGAAAGCAAGATGATAATGCCTTACTGAGATAATACCAAGCCACATGGCTAAACCTAGACAAGAATTATGACTTAATTTAAGTTGTAAGAGCTAGATAATAATAGGTTTGAGCTAATAGGTCAAACAGTTTATAATTAATGTAAGCCTCTACGTGTTTCTTTGGGACTAAACAGCTGTGAGACCAGACAGAAACTTTCATATATAATCTGTGCAAACATGGCAGCCATGTGGCCCTGCACTCAGTAAAGGGATAGATGTCAGGATGAGGGAAGGAACATCACTCAGGATGAACATGCATGAAGGAATCTTCCTAAGAGATTCTTCAGCAGATGAGGAGATGGCTCAGTCAGTAAAGAGCTTGTCTGGCAAGCATGAGAACCCATGTTCAGACCTCCAACACCCATGTAGAAAGCCAGGTGTGGGGACACGTGCTTGCTCTCTCAGAGCTGAGGGGGAGGAGCCAGGAGGATCCCTGAGGCTTGCTGGCCAGGTAGCCTGACTGAATTGATGAACTACAGCCCGGGGGAGACACTTAACAAAAAGGAAGGCCCCTGAGGACCTGCTCCTGAGCGTATCCCTGGTGTTCGCACACGCCATCACACACATGCCAGGGTCCACAGATCTGATTCCAAAACCACCAAGAAGGAACATCATAGAATAGACAGGGTCCCAGCCCTGCAGCCTGTGACATCAGGCGGGATGAAGAAGCATATGAAGTCATTATGGCACATACTCCAACAAAACACGGTTGTAAACTGAGGAAGAAGAAAAGAGCCATAGGAGAAAAGGTACTGGGGCCCTTTGGGGCCCACCCGCCTCTGTTTCCACACTAGAGATGTGGTCCATCCAGAGAAACAGGTGGGACTCATGACTCAGTACTTCACTTTCTCCCACACTCATTCTTTTCTGTAACCCCCTGCCATTGCCCACACTGCCCATTCTGATGCTAGGCTCTACCACACAGTTGGCACCAGCCAGTGATGCCAGTGCTGTGAGTGAGCCAGACAGAGTATGGGCATGTCGGGTCTCTCTGCTTAGCATCTGCCTTTGCCATGAGTACTAGTCTACGTTTGCCTAGGTTAGCCTGCCGGAAGATGAAACACAGACCAACCCCTGACTGCCAATATCATAATGAGCCTAGCTTGGGGCAGAGCTTCCCAGCTGACCCACAGACTCGGAGGCAAATGAAGGGCCCAGTGCTGGTTGGCAAAAGTGGCTGGCCTTGGGTAACTGGTTACACAGCATGGATGTGGAAGCTGATGACATCGTGGAGAAAGTGGGTTTGTTTCCGAGCTTTGCTTTAGGCTGTTCAGCCAAAGTCTGTGAGGGCAGAGGTTAGCCTTAGCTACCAGAGGCCAAGGTCACCTCTGAGGAGGCTCCAGGGTGCAGCTTAGGAGCTGAAGCTCTGGGAGGGGACTTGTGCCATAGCCAGGAGAAGGGATGGAGTCATGCTTCCTGGTTCCTAGCTCAGCAGCCCTTCCTGTTACAACGATGTCTCCCTGTGATGGGGGTGGGGGGAGTGAAACAAACAGTGACCAGTCTCACCCTCATGGGGAAAGACCCGGTGACTTACAGAGTAGGTGACGCCGCTGGAAGACACAGGCGATGCCTCATTGTTGGCAGAGGAGGTCACAGCCAGAGAAGCCAGGGCAGGGAAGAGGCTCTCCATCTCGGGCTCCTCAGAGAGGTTGTCCTCACTGTCAGCCCGGCCATGCTTGTCCGTCTCGCCGGGCCAGCCCTCCATCATGGCGCCATCCTTCTCGGGCAGGGCCACGTCCAGGCTGCCAGGGATGGACATGAACTCCTCCATGCTCTCGTTGGCCAGGAGGTCACTCTCAAGACTGTCTTGCACCGCCAGCTCCTCCCGAGGGGCTTCGTCCCGGGAAGTGGTGGCTTCGCTGCTCTGTCCATCTTCTACACTGCTGTCTCCAGGTCGAAACACAGCGGGGAGGCTGCGCTGGGCATCCAGGACACTGTCTTCAGTGCTAAAGCTGGGCTCAGAGTGCTCAGAGAGGCCGGATGAGAAGTTGTGGGAAGAAGGGTGCCCAGAGTCTGGGGAGCAAGTGCCATTTGCTGGGTTCCCGTTGGGGACTTTGGGTTGTTTCTCCTCTGACCTGCCTTCTACCTCTGTCTGTTCCACCTCATCCACAGACTCAAATACCTGAGGAACGGGACACACAGATACACAGGTCAGGGTGTGCATGGCAACTCAGTTTAAAGCAGCAACTTAATATCCAACAACAGGGATGTTTCGGGATGGATTTACATGTAGTGGAAAAGCATGCAGTCAGTACAAAGGCAGTGTGCCCTTCTTAATGAAAGTCAACAACCCAAGTGCTGAGACTATGTTGGCAATTCAGTCGGCCACTGCTGGCTCTGAGGAGGTCAGTAGGGACATGCAGTTTGGGGAGAAGGTGGCTTTTCACCATACAGACGTCTAATACTTGGGTTTATTTGCAGTTCTCTGTGTCCTTCAGCTGTAGCCCTCAAGGTCACAGAAAACATCAGGTTCCAAAGCCTCACACTGATTATCTGTGTGGCCACCCTCAACCTCAGTTTACTGGGTCTACTTCTGCATTTTTGTGTGCAGTGCTGGGACCTCTTATAGACTAGGTCAACACACACACACACACACAAAGATTTTTCTACCCACAAGGTGACATTTTGTGCATGCTTTTATACTTTTCACTAAAAACAGCTATTTTATTTTTTATTTATGTATCTATGTGTATATGCCCACATGAGTGCAGGTGCCCTTGGAGTCCAGAAGAGGGTGCCAGATTTCCTGAGGTTACACCTGTGTTGTGAGGCACCTCATGCAGGTGTGGGGAACTGAACTTGGGTTCTCTGTAAGAGCAGTTCATGCTCTTAACCACGGAGACATCGCTCCAGACTACTTCGTGCTTGTCTTTCTGTTTAATGAGACTCCAGATGAGGTAAGCTTTATGAGTGACGCCAAAAGCTGTTGAACAATAAATAAATCTGCCGGCGTTAATGTGGGATCTTAAGAACCACCAACTCCTGCGCTCCATTAGGTATGTGTGTGTGTAAAGACATCCAGAAGGTTCTGGAAGGTCACACGGGAGACATGATGATTGTAATGATGATTGTAGCACTGCTTGAAGGGAGGACAGAGGCAATGGAGACAAAAGGAAAGTGCAGGCGTGAGGTGTGATGTCTTACAGGGGAGTAAACTTGTGTTCAGCCTCCGAATTCACAGAGGCTGGGTCCGAGATTCAACCAATGTTGAGCGAAAATACCCCGCAAACCACTGCACCTGCACAGACTGGGCTCAGGCACCTGTCCTTCCTCCCTAGTGACACAGTCCGATGGTTATTTCTGTGTCGTTTTACACTGCACTGCTCTTGTGAGTGAGCTGAAGAATGCACTGGCCTGTGGACACACTTGTCATTTTACACAAACAACTGGGATCCTGGCATGCTGATGTCTGCGAAGGCTGCATCCCATCGCTGTGGCTCAGGGGGGCTGCAGGTGCTTGTGCTACATAGAGATCACACTCCAGTACCAGCCATAAAAAGCCCAAGACAGACCTGGTGGTTGTAGTGTGCTCAGGAGGCAGAGGCAGGCAGAGATCTGTGAGTTCAATGCCAACCAGGTCTACAGAGTGAGTTCCAGGACAGGCTCCAAAGCTATAGAGAAACTCTGTCTGGGGGGGTGGGGAAGCCCAACACACAACACAGCAAGCAAAGCGAGTGGCTGGTAAATGATGAACATCCAAATCCTTCAACCCCAGGTGGAAGGGCGGGGCTGGTGCGGATGAGGGGAAGGGCGGGGCTGGTGCGGATGGGGGGAAGGGCGGGGCTGGTGCGGATGGGGGGAAGGGCGGGGCTGGTGCGGATGGGGGCAGAGCCTCTGAAAGTCACCTGTGTGCTGCTGCTGGAGTCGCTCTGCAGTCGGAGGTTCTGGCGGCCTGAGCTGCAGCTCTGGGAGGACTGAGACGGACAGCAACCAGAGAGACAAAGATGGAAGGTCACACTAGGGGCTGCCGGGATGGGAGTCAGGAAGCCTGTCTTCATTCCTTCTGGCTGGCACAAGCTCCCTTCCAGAGCCTGACTCCTGGCTGCTCCCTGGAGCCCCCTGGGAGATGACCTTGGCCTCTGGGTCCTACCTTCCAGCCTCCACATTAGAGCACCCCACCTTTAACAAACTTGAGAGTTTCTGGCTAGGATTTATGTCCTTCCAGAGTAACAGGTGGGACTCACGGTTCAGTTTTTCTGTCCCACCCTCCCCACTCTGACCCTAGGCTCTGCCATGCAGTCAGCCTCAGTCTACTCTGGGCTGTTCAGCTGAGGACTGTGTAAGAACAGAGATCTGTCTTAGCTACCAGAACATTCTTGAAAGTACTTGTACATGGTAGGTGTTCAGAACACATTAGCTGAACCTATGGAGGACAGACGCTACACTGGAACCTGATACTGTCTTCTTAGGGCTGTACCCACACCTCCACCATTCATTCCTACTGTATGTGTGCAAGAACTGAGCCCAAAGGGAAGGCACTGGTAAGAGGCTCTTTGTGGGCTTTGAACCTATATCTGATTCTGAAGTTTCCCCAGTCCCTCCCCCACAAAAGCTAACGGCAAGGCTGTCCCAAGGCTCTGTCCCTCTCACACTGGCAATCTCTCAGACCAGCTGTCCTTACCTCGTTACTGATGGTAGAGTCCCGGTGCAGCATCCGGTGAATATGGCTGTCCAGGCTAGCCCCTGAAGAGCACTTGGCCAGGGCAGCAGCATGGGACTCCCGTTCCCTCTGTCTCACGATAGCCTCACAGCCCAGCCACTCCGACATGGTTTGTGCGTAGCAGGCATGGATCTGTTCATCCACCTGTCGGCACACGTGCAAGTCACGTGAGCTGCTGAGCTCCCTGGACTCTGACCTGTCCACATGCATGTGGTCAGCACCCAACAGATACAAGCTATGTGATGTCCTGTGCTCAGAAATGCTAGAGAGCAGGCTACTTCATCCCCACTCTCCTTCCATCGCTCCTCCTTTTACTAATCCATTCTCTTACACAACCATCCAACTGTCTGCTTGCATAATTTCTCTATTTCCTCATTTGTTAACTACTTAATACATTTACTCATTAATTTCTTTTGATAAGTACCCACAGTGTGCCAAGCACCAAGTCAGGCATATAGATTACAAGATGAGCAAGATTCTGCTATCCATCCACCCACCCATCCTCTCATCTACCAATTCACTCACCCATCCACGTACCCATCCACCCACCCATCCATGTACTCATCCA